TATATATATATTCTCTATAGATAGATATATCAAGTACACATGTTAAAATTAAAGCGCTCAAACTAGACTAGTGGAAAAAAAGGCCATCAGACCATATGGGTTCCAGCTTTATTTAATCCCATTGTCATCAATGAGCTGATCAGCAAGTAAAGTTGGTCTGTCTTCAGGAAATTAGTATCAAAAAACCACAAACATGCCTAAACAAACTACTGTTTAAATAGCACTCCAGTACTTGTAATCATTTAGAATAGTTAATAAGAATACAACTTCTCTCAGCGTTGGTGGTTAAATGAAAATTTGCATGAAGGCAATATGTAGTCCCCACCATTTGAGATTAGTTCCTAGGCAGTCAGATGGAAAAAAGCTTCAGCGCATTCATAAAAGCAGTGAATGTGACAGGCACCAAATGTTCACTTCTGGCGAATCTTCCTGGTGCATGCGTTTTAAATTGCAGGGGATTGATTTACCTGCAGTGGATGTCACAATCACTGCTTTATAAATAGGCATAACCATATTACTCATGAGCTGTCCAATAGCTTTTCAACTGAAGACACTAATATACAAAGTCTTACCTTTGCCTTGTCCCTCATTGATCCTTTTCCCAGCACAGAAATTTTTGCTCCAGTCTCTTCCTGCAGCCTCTTGATTGTGTTTCCTTGGGGTCCCAGGATCTTTCCAACAAAGTTAAACTATGGGGCATAAATGTCAGAATAAATGCAAATATTTATTACACTATATTGTACAAGTAACTACAGATCTGGGCAATCTACATTTACAGAAGTATGACAGATTTTGGCCACTTATAAAAGTTAAATAACTGGGTTGTAAATCATTTAAGAATATGCCGCAGCTAGGAGAGAAAGAAGTTTTGTTTTAAAGGAAAACAAATCTATGGAATTAAATGAATGGCTCTAACAATTGCATTTACCCATATCTTGGAATGTACAAGGCTGTAGCCAGTATGGAAGATAACTATACAGTATTTTGGTATGCTGAGCACAGGGGGCAACAATACTCACCTTTGGATATAGTTTAACTGGAATCAAAACGCGCTCCTTCAGCTTCATGTTCTTATGTGAGAACAAGTCTAGGTAAGTGTCTCCTTCCTCCTTTCCTTTCTCCTCACCTCCCTTCTTCATTCTTTCAATCTCTGCATTGGGAATTTGAAGAGGACCAATGTTAGAATTTGTGTTTCATAATTTTCAAATCACATTAAAAAAAAATCTATCTACACACCTATTGGTTGCCAAGAATAACTAACCAGTAGTACTCTGGCAGAGGCCAACAGCATGATCTTATGGTTTCTGGACCCCAAAACCATAGACATTTAAGTTGGCTTTCAGGGCTTGTTCACACCAAGCATGTTCCAGGAGCAGAGCAGCTCCAGATCGGATCAAAACTGCGTCCAATGTATTCCAATGGTATTTTGGCTCTAGTTCACACCACAGCGTTCAGTTGCAGAGCATGTAAAAAAAAACTGCAGCAAGCCCTATTTTAACTGCTCCTATACAGCATCCCTCGCAGCCCCAGGGGTGAATAAACAGCTGTCATTCATTATTAATGCCTACATGTAACACTCTCCAGATAAGCTAGCCATGGCCCCATAACCAGCATGTGCCAAGCATCCAATCAGGTGTGAGATGAGCCCTGCCAGTAGCAGTTTTCATCCATCTCACCCACCAGCAGATGCCAAATTCAGAGCAATAATTGTACAATGAGTGTACTGAAATAGACAAGGTATTTATTAGTGGGGACAGAGCACAATCTAGTGGCTACAGACTGGTATTACAACTGTTCTCACATTGCCACATGCGGTGTAACAGCAGTAGCCATTAGGATGTTGTGACCAGCTGGTTGAAAAACAATGGCCTAGACTAGAAGGACAACACAGCTTTTCAACACAGAACTATTAGGTGAGCGACTTCCACTCATCCTCATAGTTAGAGCCGACCTGTGACCAAGAAGCTGTCACAGACCGGCTCTATAGATCGGGTGCCCGGTCGCCTCCCTGCAGTGAGCGGTGACGGTCAGTCAACGCTCCCTGCAAGGATTCCCCCCTACATTGCAAATGGTCCTCACATACTTTATTGCTCTGTGCACTATAGGAACTGAAAAATGAGCGGTCTCGTATCCTATGCACTGACTGTGTGTGAGGTCTCCATCCTCAGAGAAGAGGGAACTGAAGAATATTTAACTGAACTGAAAGACTAAATGCGTAGCTGCGCCCTAACCTACAACTTTGGTTCCTGTCTGAGTAAAAGTTTGGGGTTCTGGTACACAGTAGGGTGTGTTGATATTCTGCTTATATTTCTACTATACTTTTTATGCCATCTTCTGTGCTACCTAGAAATTAATTATCTCCTTTATTTTCATAAAACTGAAGGCAGGAAGAAAGCAGCTAGCACTACAGTACATGTTACTCTTTGCCACTAGCCAACCATACACTGGTAGACTTCCATATGAAAAAATATGGTGTGAATGGGCCACATAGAAAACCATTGTTTTGTGTATGCCATTGCAGTGCCTGATGTTGATCCAGTCTAAAAAAAAAAAAAACTGGTGTGGAGGAGCCCCAAGAAATTTAACCCTTATAGTAGGACTACACCTCATCTGCAAGTGTTAACTGCTTGTTTTGGTCTAGGGGCTAAAATAAAGATAGTCACCTAAACCTCAGTACCGCTTGGCTGCTAGACCAGTTGCCACAGCCTCTTCTCCCTTAGGCTCTGGCAGTCTAGGATCCCAGATGTCATGTCAAATGCAACTGCATTAGAGAGGACGCCGAGGGACATTCCATGCCAGAGCACCAGGGGCACAAAAGCAACATCATTGAAACCCTTAAATAGATTAACCAGTTGACATCCACGGTGTTAAACCCCCTTCCCATCCAGGCCATTTTTCAGTATTCAGCGCTGCGGTACTTTGACTGACATTTATTCCGTCATGCAGCGCTGTACTGAAATGAATTTTATACCCTTTTTTGGGGACAGAGCTTTCTTTTGGTGGTATTTATTCACCACTGGGGTGTTAATTTTTTTAGTATATTAAGGAAAAATTACCAAAATAAAAAATAAAACTGAGCCGATCCCGGGCCGCAGATGGGGCAGCGGATCCCGGGATTCAAGGTGAGGGGGTCGGGTAAACCGGCGCGCGCGGGGGGGAACGTGAACGAGCACATAGACGATCGGCGGGCTATGGAGCCGCTAATCACCTATATGTGAAACACCCGGTAACGGGTGTGTGCAATGGTCGGGTCTTTACTGCCCGTGCGTGCCCGCTAGGGGGCGCGCGCATAAAAAAATCGCCGTCTGGAGACGGCAACCCGCAAATGCTGCAGTGCCGTCCGTCTGTTTTTTTACTACAGGCGTATGGCAAGTGGTTAAGAGTGTGCATGAGGTTCAAGAAAGCAGTATTTTCATAATGAAGCCAAGATCAAGAACACGGGAACATGATCTCAAACTAGCAGAAGAAAAGGTTGGAAACTAACCGTCAGAAGTAATATCCTGGAAGCATGGTGGATATTTGGAACACAGACTTCCAGCAGATGTAGCAAGGCAGCCAACGGTGAGGGCTGGTTCACACCATAGTGCTAAACACATGGCATTCATGCTTTTATTGCACAAACATGCACAAGGTACCAAATGGATGCAAAGATAGAATTTAGAAGCCAGCTACATTGACCAAAAAAAAAGTTGGCCGCCAGCTGTAATGATTAGGGAGCATTGGCCACCTGGCTCCTGGGATTTGTCTAGTCCTCCAGTAACGCGTTATGTACAATTCATTACCACTCAATTTTCAATGGCACTCCAACCCGCGGTGCCACTGAGAATTAATGGTAATACAGCACACAGGTCCTGCGTGTTTAGCACAACGCTATGGTGTGAACCAACCCAAAGCGACTTTAAACAAGCTTGGGACAAACAAATGTATTTTCAGACAAAAGGAGTTCTAAAAACAAATTTTAAAAAGAGCCATCCTCAATGGATTACTGTCTTTTAAGGCGGTGCTGTCGTTCTTCTATGGGGCAAGAGAGTGGCCAGGGTCACCACCAGGCAGTTTTGTTAGGCTGGGTTCACACCGGGGCATTCCAAATACAAGCGTTTTATGCTCGTTTTTCAACACTTTTTTTTTGTTAATTGAAACGCGCGTTCGACGCTCATTTAACATCCTTGGCGTTATGATTTTTTTCGTTTTTTTAAACTTCCCGCTGGTTCCACCCCCTGCGACGGAACCTGGAAGACGGCAGCGGCCGGAGGACACAGCGGGGACCGCGGACAAGGTAAGACCTACGCTGTATTCCCGAGTGTGGCTCAGGTTTACCGCTTGGTTAACCACGAGCCGCACTCAGGAATACCAATGGATATGCGCTGAAATACGCCCCTACGTCCTGTACTATTTCGGACGTGGGACGTTTTTCGGTGCGACAAATCGCGCTGAAATACGCCCAGGTGTGAACCAGGCCTTACAGCTAAATGGAGGAAAAAAAAAAAAAACAAAAAACAAAAACTA